TTTGAGGACAAGAGACAGTAGGAAACTTAAAATAGCAAACGTTTGTGCCTGACAAACATCAACGAGGTTAAAGAAAAGCCTTGGTCCTGAGCTCATTTTATTTGAGCTTCGTATTCCACCATAATTCTCAAAAACATCAGAATATGCTTTCTGCCTGTCTCTTTGATCTCAAATCATACTTCTGGCCAACACCAGTGCCACCTCTGCCTCTCACACTCAACTTCCAGCCGGATTCATTCTGCCTTCTGACCTAGCTTTTCAACACCCTTCATATTAGGCCAAATTGGACTTCCTGAACTCTTCCTCCCTCTTCCCAAATTGCCTTAGGCAAACTTATGCAATAATTCCCCTTGTCTGAGAACTGTATTCACTTTAACCAGGTCAGGGCAGAATGTTACATAGGAAAACTAAGGACCTTCATATGACTCCAAAACTCTGTTCTTTTTGCTTTTATAATTTTGAATCTCATTCCACATACTTTAATCACACAAAAACCATCTCAGCCCCAGACCCCAGAAAATCTAGCTCCTTTATGCGGGTAGCACATCACCTAAACCAAGTGCTTTAAGATTTTCCCTTCTCCCACCATTTCCCTGAAGCTTTCTTCTTGCTCTCTGGAAGACAGGTAGCAATTATACCCAGTGGGGATGAGAATTCCCACTGCTCTCCATTATCCCACTCAAATAACATAATATGTCTAATTAAAAGATGGCAGAGAAAGAGAGATCAGGACTTACCAGTGGAGTAATAACAGACAGTGTGCCTCTTGTACTTAGTTATTTTCTTTTCTCTTCTTATTACTTTGAGTTTATTAAATTTATTACTATTTGACAAAGAGTTAACCAGTCTGTTTTCACTGTAAATAAATGTGTTAATCAGCAAACCGGTATCAAATAACTACCACTACATGTGGTACAATGGCATTGGAACAAAGTGTCATGCCTCTCTACTGGTGGTATAGTTTCCTTAACTGTGTAACCCTAGAGAATAGTGCCAGTCTAACAAGCAGTACCAGTTTACCTGGCTACAAAACAGCTGGGAAAGGGCTCTGGAGAGGTCCCAAAAGTGTCCTTTCATCTGCTCGACTGAGAACAGAAAGTGATTGCTTATGTTTTCAGCCTGGAGCAGTGCAACCAAGTCACAGGGAAGCCTACCTCATGGGCTGTTAAAACCAGTCCAAGAGAATTCTGCTTGGCTATGGAGCCCTTAGGAGGTGGGCATTATTGAAAAGCCCATGTATCTGGAAAATTGGAACAGTTTTGCAGGCTTAGCACCACAGCCATTTTGAAATTATTCTGGGAGAGTGTTCTAGTCCATTGTAGGCTATTTTGCAGGTTCCCTGGCCTCTATACTCATTGGATGTGGCAGCATCCAAAAGAATTGTCAAGTGCTGCCAAATGCCAGGTGTGATGGTGGGGGTGGGGTGGGGTATGGTAGGCCAGAGAACACCCCAGGAGAACTATCCCAGACATAGAGGCTATTTCCCCTGCTATGGCAGTATGAGGGGATAGAGCGAGGGAGGCAGAATGTTGGGGGAATCTGAGAATTATGCTGAGACATTTTAGAATTCCTTCCCACCTTAGGATTCCCCATAAAGTTCATTTCTGAATGTTCTGCTCCAGAGTTCAGGCCTAGAAGATCCAAGGTCATGGTGTAGCTGTAGCCTTGAAATCTTAGAATTTATGAATCAGAAAAGGTCTGTGAGAACAGGTAGGTTTAATTAACTGTACAATCTACCGAATATTTGAATGGTACCACGCTCAAAGTATTACAGTGGTTGTCACTATTGCTGCCAAAGAGAGCAGTAACCAGATCTCCCCGGCCCTAAAGTAACGGAAACAGAGCTACGGGCAAGCAAACATCCAAAGCAGATATCAGAGCTGGAGAGACCCGATTCCCCTGAATCAGTCCCTGGTCTCTACACATGTGCCCTGTGTCTCATACCCCTTCCCTCACACATACACCTTACACAATGATAATAGATAAACAAATATATACGCACTTTGAAAAATGGTTGTTGCTACCTGTGGATGCAATTCTGGGTTAGTAGAGGAAAACACAGGGGTCAGGTTAATAATGATTTAAAACACATACCCCCTCCCTCACAGCATGATCCAATCTCGAGATCTGGAAAACCAGGCCTGGGGAGGTCGGGAGAGGCACAGAAGAATCAACTCAGCAATAATAATGCTGGCTGCCGTCACAGCATTTTTAGGAAAAATATCACGATTCTGTTTCTTGGCAAGAAAACCTTGTTTCATTTACATGGTATTTCTCTCTCCTAGGAACACATCCTGTATTCATTTGCCTGAGATGGTCCACTTAAGTCAAAGTAAACCAAAAGAAAGCCATCGAGAAAACAAATCACTCGGCAGTTTGCTTACCCATTTTTCATAAACATCAAGACTATTTCCTAAACAAAAGACAGAATTCTTGCTACAGGATGGAAGATGCAGGAAACCAAGTCTCAATTTGTTCCTTTGCCTGTCATGAAGGATAGGAACTCTGGGAGGCGCTCCTAAGAGAATATGCCTCAAGCTTTATTGTGTTAGAGAAACACTCAGACCTCAGGCCCCTTCCCACCTCTCCTTCAGAGTTCTTGGCATGGAGTTGGAGGAGGACGACATCTCATTAAGACTTTGAAGTGTTAGGGCCTCTGGAACTACTGTATCCTCTAAAAGTCCCATCACATGCTTTTGTCCTGCAGGGCTCTTGCATCAGCCCACTGGGCAAAAGATAGGTGTCACTCCAGCAAGTCCTTTTTGGCCCAGATATAGAGCTCACATCAATCAACTCATCACCAATCAAGTGCCAGACACTCTGATTTCCTTTATCTTTTATGTCAATTAGTTTTGAACCCAAGAGGAGAAGAAAGGGCTTCTATTAGACCAGGGAGATGCTGGCAAGTCGCATTTGGGTTCAAATGGTTTGCATTTCCATGTGAGAACACAGCCTGTTCACACACCTTCCATAATGAAATGATCAAAGCCCAGCTAAACCCAGATCTCACATCCTTTCCTCTCACAATGGGAGACAGGCCAGGCTGAATACATGAGCACTGTTAATTACCTAATAATTGTAAAGGAAGGGATTTCCACTCTAAGGAGATTTCTCTGTGTTATCTAGTACTCAGATGAATAATTTCACCTTCAGCTGTTAACTTCTCAGGCATGGTATGCATTCTAGGGGGATGCGTACTTGTTTTGATTTTTTAACACACTATTCATGAGAGGGCGAAGAAAACATGAAAACACAGCAAAGATGGAGAACAACTCTGGCCTCTGGGTGATAAATGCTAACATCCATTAATTCTATGTATGTCTTATAGCATGAACCATCATTGCCTACTGAGGTCCTTAAGGAATTTAATTTAATGGAATGTTGGAACCAAATGCAATTAGAATATAATTGTGCATATGTAAATATGCTTAGGGGAACTTTGGTAGAGCTGATAGCTGCTATAGTCACCCCAAAATTGGGCCTACATTATTAATTCTCACTATTATGAAGAAAGGGCTTGTTAATCAAAGATAAACAATCCTAGTGATTTTGAATTAGTGAGCTTCAAAGTATGGCGGGATAGTGGTGAGGCTGTGGTGTTCACAAATGTAAATTCTCTACTGAGCAAAATAGTTGCTGGCCAGCCTCCTAGGAGGTCTCCTTATTGAAAGATTTATTTTTAATTTTGAACAGCTTCCCAGCATCAACCTCCATGAAAATTAAAGTAAGATGGAATTTTGTCCTATTAAGCAAAACTCCCTGCAGGATTGCTCAACATGGCAGAGAAAAAAAATACCTCATTGTTTCAGAAGAATTACCTGTCCACTTCTCTGCTACATCTAAAATAATTACACCTACATTTTTCATAAAAGATTTGACACTTTCCTCCTTCCCTAATAAATTCCTTGCACATGTTCTTGGTGTGGAGGATTTTCAGCATACCTCCTTTGTGCTCTTTGGACCCTCTGGCGTGGTAGGGTTGACATAATCTTTTGGCTTGAGTCCTTAAGTACAAGAAGAACCATAGAAGTCTCTTCCCTAAAACCTGTGGAAGTGGTCTATCCTCAGCAAATCTCCCAAGGGCCTCCCTCTGCCAGAGAATGACTTCAGAACTGACCTTGTTCGGATGTGGCCTCAAAAGGTCCATTCCTAGTTTTAATTTGATTAAGAACAGCAGTGCCGTGACTCGTTGGAGGATAACTGAGAAGGTGCGATAGAAGCGAGAGGGCTGGGAATGTAGCTTATCCTACTATGCAAATGCACAAGGTCTTCGGTTCAACTCCCAGCACCGAAGGGGGTGCTGAGGCGGGGAGGAACTGAATGGAAGAATACTGATTGGTCACAAACCAGATTCTACTGGAATGCAGACTGTTCTGCTCATGCTTTGGTAATCATGGTGTTTTATCTGTGATGCATGTGTGTGCATACATACATACATACACACATGCATACACACCAACACACAGATAAATAAATAACTCTTTAAAAAATAAAATAAGGGTCTGGAGAGATGATTTAGCCATTAAGAGCACTCTGGCTGTTCTTGCAGAAAACCTGGTTTGGGTTCCCAGTACCCACATGGCACCTAACAACCATCTCTAATTCCAGTTCCAGGGCTCTGACATGAGTGCACTTATATACATACAATACATAAAAAACACTCATACACATAAAATAAAAATAAATAAATCAAAAAGAAAATAATAAGAAAACAGAGCAGCAAGTATGTAATGTACCCGGGAGTGACTCAGTTCAGTAACGTCCCCTAGTTTTCCGATCACACACTGTCTTAGTCTTTATTTCATTTCTACCGCCTGTGCAGGACACGTCATACAGCTGTTGTCCAAAGAAACACAGCATTCGCTGAACTAACAAATGTCTTCCTCCAAATCTTCTGTATTATAAAGCAGCTTCCAAATTTATAATTGTTTGTACTTTGATTTCAGAACTTTGTCTCCATAAACATTGTAATTATAGAATAAACAAGCTCTAATTCCTACCTGCTTGGTTGGTTGTCACAGTGACAGACACTGACTGGTCCGGGCTAGGGTTATACTTGGACACTCCATTCACTGCCCAGATCTCAAACGTGTAATTGGTGTGCGCTAGGAGGTCAGTGATGGAGACCTTGGTGCTCTTGAGGCCGTTTTGCTGTGGGGTGTAGTGAACCCCACTTCCACAGGGCCGGCACTTGCTGGGGTCACCAGCTCCACATTTCTTGCAGACCACGTTGTAGGAAATGTCCTGCCGGCCACCCGTGTTCTGAGGACTGCTCCACTCCAAGTTCACCGACGTCTCATTGACATTTGAAATCAAGTTGAGGGGAGCAGATGGAGGGCCTGGGGGAAGAAAAACATAGCATCACACCAAGAACCGAGAGCGTCTTGGAACTGCTCAGCATTTGTATTCTTCTCTGCAGTTCTGGGAAGGAAGGCAGGCCCATTTGGCAAAGAGCAAAGAAAGCCAACAAAAAGGAGCCTTTAAAAGAACAATATGATGGAAGCGGTACACGTTGGTGTCATTCTCCTTCCAGTGCAAACAAACATGCCACTTAGAGACATGAAACCACTCTACAGCAAACGGGCACTCAGCCCAGCCTTGCTCTCTCAGTTGGCAGCAAAGCAGCATAACTTAACTAGGTCCCTATCTTATCTTTTGAAAATCAGTTATACAAATGGGATTCTAGTTCCCAGGGCTGTGGTGGGACCCTGGAAATGTAATACTTAGAAACCTCCTTTGAAGACAAGTTCTGATTCCTCAGAAGAGCACATCACCGAAAGCATTAAATGATCAGCACTCTACAGATATGCCTCTATGGCTCAGGATGCAGGGAGAGTTAAGCCACTTAAGGGTAATTAGTAGGAACTGGTTTAACACGGTTGCAAAGATGTCGGAAGAGACACAGAGCTGTTGAGATCAGGCCAGGACTGACTGTCTACAACTACCAGATACCTCCCTCTAGCCCTTAAGCACAATAGAGCTGTACCAGGCTGTTTAAAAGAGTGTTCAACCCACTGACATCAAAGAGTTTCTGAACTATGATGGTGACTGTCATGGAAGACAAGGGGGCCTGGTTGCTCACAGCATCACAGGTACTTTAGCGATAATAACAATGATAAAAAGGGAGGACTATAGACCCTTTATCCAAGAAGCTGTCAGGTAGAAGACTGAGACCAGGAGAGGGAAATTTTGTGCTCTAAAACCGAATTTCAAAATCTTGAAAGATGCCATTACTCTAATGAAAAATATTTACTCAATGTGACAGTTGGAAAGTCAAAATAAGTTTTCATGAAAATTTGAGGTTTCTTGATCACTATATATGTGTGTGTGTGTGTATATGTATATCTTGATCATTATATATAGTTAATCACTATATATAGTTGATCAACTATATATATACATATATGTGTGTATGTATATATACATATATATTCATATTCATTCCTTTATTTTGGAATGACCGCTTTGAAGGGAATTTTACATTGGAGGCCTGGATGAAATTGACGCTTTACCCCTTCAACCACAATGCAATACCTGCTCCAAAGTACTCATGTAAACCCAAGGGGAACAGGTAGCTATGAAGAAAGAGCCAAGTCACATTCAATATTTATTACTTGGCTTGCAGTGATGAATGAATCCAATAGAGTTTGGTGGAAATGATTGTATGAGAAATCTACTCTCTTTCCGTCTTACAGAGTTTAAGTGAAGATGTTGTTTTAACAACATAAGCAGCTTTTCCCAGTCTCCCCTTGGGACTAATTATTGACAACAACTCTTAAGACCTATTCCCTGACCTTCAAATCTTAAGAAGAAAAAAAAAAACTATAAAAATTTTTGTAAAACTTGAGACTAGAGAGATGGCTCAGCAGTTTAGAGCACTGGCTGCTCTTGCAGAGGACCTGGGTTTGGTTCCCAGCATCAACATGGCAGCTAACAACTGATGATTAACTCCAACTCTAGGGGATCCAACACCCACTCTCACTTCCTCAAGCACTGCACAACACAGGTGCACCTACATACATGCAGACAAAACATGCTCATACAAACAAATAAATAAATATTTAAAACTATTGTAAGATTTGCATTAAATACCGGTAAGTTTACCTGACAAAATCCTCAGAAACATAATATAAATTTCTTCATTTTTAGATTTCAAGACTGAATTTATAATCTCTAACATAGTGGCTGGAATAGACTAAGGATGAATAAATGGCATCTGAATGTGTCAATGGAGTTGTTTAAAACCTCAGATTCTAAGAGCCAAATACAACGTTAAATGTGAAAAGTTAAATGTTAAAGATAAGGAAATTGAGATGCAGTAAACACAGCAGATAATAGTAAAAGTACATGCAATATAAACCATAACAGAATCTAAAATCCCAAAGTGCTGTGCCTTACTCTGGGTTTATTTCTGCTTACCAGGCTGATTAAAAAAAAGAGAGACACATGTCCTAAAGCTGGACTGTGAGTGTGCATCTTTAACTCCAGAGTCTGTGAGTTGTGCCATCGGTCATTACTAGTTCATGGCTGATGCTGGCCATAGTCTGGTTCATAAATTGGGTCAGCCACTGGTTCTTACTTTGCTGTGACTTCCAGAGCCAAAGAAGAGTGACTCTGAAATCCATTAACCTCTTTGCCAAGGTTCCTGGTCCAGTTTCACATGGGAAAGTGTGACACAATGAACCAAGCGTTGCAGAAGCAGAAAGTCAGTAATTAGTATGTAGGACGGGGCACGGCAGTGTCTAGGCTGAGAAGAAATGGAGCAGAAAACTACACGGTCACAGGACCCAGAGATGTAACACTGCCACGTGGAAAGCAAGATACAAAGATGAGGCAGGATCTCGGAATGGGAAAGGTGAAGTTCAAGTTCAATGCTGCCTCCAGGAATGGTTTTAAGAATGGCACTGCCTAATATTTTATGTTTTGGTTGTGTGAGAAGGAATGTAGTAGCAGCTAGTCCATAAATCGACTTTGGCTATCATATGATAAAGGAGGCAGTGAAACACAGAAATCTCTTACCTAGTATAATGACCACACTGTCCTACAAGGACTTGGGAAGGCATGCATGCTTTTACAAGCTAAAATCATAATGGCTTTTGTCTGTGGGGTTGTGGTTTCTTTTTTACAACTCTTGCCAATTGAGAGGTGACAAGTTTGTAACAAATGGGTTCCTCATTCGTAGTGAAGGGCCACTGCTTCTTCAAATGGAAAATATTCTCTTAAGACAAAGGGAAAAAAAAAAAAAAAAAAAGGACTTGCACACAGCCAAAGCCAATCTAGAGCTACGGTTACACTTAATGTCATCCCACAATTGAAAAAGAATGCAGGCAGGGTTGAAGACATTGCTCACTGGTTAAAAGCACTAGCTGCTCTTGCAGAGGACTCAAGTTTTGTTCTCAACACACACATGATGGCTAACAATCATTAGTAACTCCAGTTCTAGGGAATCCAACATCCTCTTCTGGCTTCTGTGGGCACTGCATGACATAGATGCATTTATATACATGCAGGCAAAACACTCATACACATAAAATAAAAATAAATAAATAAAATGTAGAAGGAAGCAGGCATTCTGAGTAATATGTGCTCTCATTCAATAAATGCAAGGCAGCTACAAAGAAAGAAGTCTGAACCTATTTTCTCTTTCATTTATTTAAATAAAAACTATATCTGGTATTTAGTCACAATTAAATTTCTGATACAGCAACTGCCTTCCTCATCAGAAAAATGCCCACCTTTAAGTAAGTCTCCAATTTCAAGTAGAGTGGGGCTTTCTGTATCCCTGAGCCCCACTTTCATAGATCTAATCAACCAATACCAAGTACTGAGAAAGGAATTACATCTGTCCTGAATAGTAGCAGCCTACTGCTATTGTTTTTTGGTTGTTGTCACTGTGTTGTCATTGTTCCCTAAGTAAAATGTTATGACCACTTAGCATTGCATGGTATTAGATATAAGCACCCCAAGGAATATTTATTTAAAATATACAGAAGGATGGGTGTAGGTTATAATACTAGATAAAGGATAAGACCACTCAGATTTTTGGTACCCTTGAGGGTCCTAGAGCCAATTCCATATGGATACTGAAGGAAATCTACATGGTTTCATACCAAAGAAAGATAACTGTACCACATGCTCAAATTTTCTAGTCTTTCTGTCTGTGCCATACTTACTGAGCACACATTCACAGCAGATAGCTCCAGCGTCACCATGAGGAACAAGATGTGTTTTAGCAGCTATCAATACTGGCCCGAAGGCTGCCAGCAAGATCCATCTGTGGCTCCCCATATTAGTTCTTTGTTTCTATATCCTTTTTCATTGATGGTGGTTGGTAGTTTCTCACTACCCAGATGCCCACTCCACATCTGTTCCTACCATTACCTGTATCTATATCCTCCTCAAGGGAATTGATACTCTGCTTCCTATTGTCTACCATTATTTCTTAATATCTAGTTCAAAGAAAAAGCACAATACACATTTGAAGAGGGTGGATGGGCAGATGGATGGATAGATGGATGGATAACCACTGAAGTCCTTTAGTTTAACATCTACTGTGAAGTATGTGAAGGAACACAGACTTCCCTCAGTTAAAACTGCAACAGTCACCTTTTGGCACAAGGTACATTAGCACTAAGCCTGTGAAGGACTATCTCAGTATATAACTCCTTTCCACAGTTCAAAGCGGCTGGAAAAGGTGGGAAAGGCTATGTATCAAATACCAATGATGACTTCTCTGGGAGGAACTATAGTGTCATTGTTTATTTAACAAATATTTATTGAATGTAATGTTTTTCACCTGCTTTACAGGACAAAGGAACAAAGTACCTCAACTCAGTTTGATCCCTTTGTGACAGTTTCCTGGATGGGGGGAGGGTTTTAGAGGAAACAGAAGATGCTAAAGGTATCTAATTAGGAAGCATGCATGCATTGGATGTATGGGTAAGCACCCTGTTCTGACCTGTTCTTACAGACTATGTGATCAGCCACTACATCTACGAGTTTAAAATGTGATCTGAAAGCTGGAGAGGTGGCTCAGTGGTTAAGAGCATGGGCTGCTCTTGCAGAAGACCCGGGTTCAAATCCCAGCACCCACATGATGGCTAACAATTATTCATAGCTCCAGTTTCAGGGGATCCGACGCCCTCTTTGGGCCTCCACAGGCTTTGCACAACACAGGTACACTTACATACATGCACGCATAGTACTCATACACATAAAACAAACATATAAAAAATATTTAAAATTTGGCCTGTCAGTAAGTGCTTTGTCAAGCTGGCACCGGCTACTCCGGCTTTTCTTCCTCCACTTTGATTTCAGGTGATGCTTTACCATGAAGCGA